CATTGTTAATTTTGCTTTATTTCGAAGATTATTTGAGTAGTTGTCCGCTAATTGGAATTTGTGTTGCATGCGGTGATTGAAATTTGTGTTGCATGTGCGAATTGGAGCTTCGGATTTTTTTATTTTATTTTATTTTTTTTTCGTTTTTTAAATTTATTGCATTTCAGTTGTATATGCTGGATTTCCGATGGAATCAGTTATTGGAGTGGAGACAGATGGTGAAGCTAAAGTTGAGGATAGTGTGGTTGAGGCAATTAACAGTGTCTCGAGTTGTTTGCCGGAGGAAACTGCTGATCCCATTGTCTACAAGCTCGTGCGGGTATGCATTCAGCTCAAAGAGATTCATTAATCTCATTTTTTGATCCTAAATGTTAAACATAGCAATTTTTCTTTGTTGCTCGATCAGTAAGTGTAGCTATGTGAGGAGAATGATGCATATTCATGAGTCTAGAGTTTTTGAGGCATAACTGTGTAAAGTGATTGTTTGGTCAAGGACAAGACACCATTTCCTTGGTGTGAATTTGAAACTTTGGGAAGGATAAAAATTATACTGAGCTACTCCACTTTTAGGATATACCTTTCACTCTTTCAGCTAACTCAAAATGCTAGCCTTTACAGTAAATTGTGATAATCATGCCATGCATTGCATCCAACCTGAAGCAAGGGAGTAGTTTGATGGGGGCCTTGACTCGTGAGGGTTTATTGAAGCATAGTTATGCTTTATGAAATCTGTAGGTTGACGGGGATGGCCGACTAGTGCCTGCAACTGATGATGAAGTGATGGCAGTTGAAGACTTGCTTGAAGATGACAAATGTGAAGTTGGTCAGGTCATAGATGCTGAGCAAACTGTAGAGTGCAACAAAATTGAAGCATATCATTTGGGAAAAACTCAGTTTGAAAACCCACAAGGTCAAAGTGCCTTCGATTTTTCATTTTGTTTGGCTTATTTCATTGCATTGAAATTCTTTTACGACATTTATGCACTGTGTTAGCAAAACTTATTTCCTCAAAACTTTATTTAACTCTGCCAATTTATTCAATGTGAACTGAAAAGTTACAAAACCATTCACTTTCAGTAACTATCAGTCTAGTTTTGGGTACTATCCCTTATCTGGCGTAGTGCAGATTTTTTTGATTTTTTTTTTTTTTTCGTTCAATCTTATTGTAGTCTAAATGCTTGTCTCTGATTTGAAAACCTTTGTCTTGGGGCCCAGGACAACCATTTTCTGAAATACATGAAGCTGATGTCGTAACCTTCAATGTATCGCACAAGTTGTTGCCTGATACAGACAATGTAAATGCTCAAGGAAAGGTATATGGCTTGGTGTTTTTTGAATGTTTATTTTCTACTATGATTTATTTATTTATCTTTGTTTGTACTGAATGAGAATGCATTATGTATGACAACTAGTCTTCTATCTAGAAAAGTGTGATTTCAATATTGTAACACCAGTGCTGTGGTGACTATTTAAGTTTCTTCTTTCCTGTAATAGAGATTCCAATTTAGAATTGATTTGCAGGCAACTGTCCCTCCATTGACTTCAGAATATAGCACTGTTGACAAATCTGGGAGTGCTGAGGGATGTTCAGCCCCCTCAGATGCATTTAGTGAGAATAATTTATTGGCTTCCAAAGCTGGGGCTAGCTGGAAGCCTGATTTTTCTAAGTTGAAGGGGGAAATATGTTTGGAGAATTTAACAGTAAAAGAACTTCATGAAACTTTTAAAGCAACCTTTGGAAGAGATACTTCAGTTAAGGACAAGCAATGGCTTAAGAGGAGGATTTCCATGGGGTTGTCAAATTCATGTGATTTTTCTTGTACTAGTTTTGTTATTGAGGACAGCAGAGTGGTGAAGAAAGTTAAAGAAAACATTGCAAGTGTGAATGGTTCGATTTCAAAAGATCCCATAGTTGCATTGCCAAATATTAACTCAGGAAGTTCATCTGGCCATGATGACAAAGTAGAGAGTCCAGCTAATATTACTGAAGGGAATATACCCAACTCAACATTGGAAGGTTGTATTGTTAGTGAGGGCCATAACATGGAACAAACTGCAGCTAAAAGGGTTCGTAAACCTACGAAACGATATATTGAAGAACTTTCAGAAGTGGAATCCAGGGAATCTAGTGGAAAGTCAATGTCTTCAGAGAAAATTTGTGGTTACAAATCAACACATCCAAGTAATCATGTGATATCTATTATGAAAGCCCGGCCGGATGGGAAACCTTTTATTATGCGGCAAGATTCACTTGGAGGTTCTGGAGTTCAAATTCCATGTGTTTCTCGGATTCGGAGGGGACGTCCAAGGGAAAATTTTATGAATCTTTTGGTAAGCTAACAAGAGTCTTTTCAAGTGTTTTTCATGTGTGGGTCAATTTTATTTGTGATCTCATGAAGATAGGTTGTTGACCTCGTAGATTTATTCTCTAATGTGCTTTAAGTTTTTATTTTTAGAAACTCCAGCCCAATGGCACAGACATGGCAGCCGAACTGGTGAAGAATGTTGGTGACACCCAAATTGATCAAACAGATGAAGTCTTGAAAACAAGTTTGTCTCCTGGATGGATTCAACAACCAGTAAGTTGTTTTTGCATTTTTTTACTGTCACTCTTCAATATGCAACATTTCATAGAATATCTGCTTCTTTTTCAGTGTCCTTTGAATTTAGCAATAGCTGGGACATAGTGGTTTCTATGATTGAACATTTCTGCTGTGGCATAAGTTCTTTGTACTCCCTGTGCTCTAGTCCCACATGAAGTGACGGGATGGGAGTAAAGGGAGTACAAGCAGCATTCCTCTTCTTCTGCTTTTATCAGAATCTAAACTTTAAATGCCTGTGTCAATGCTTGCTAAATATAACCCTTCTGTTTTAGTTGCATTCTGGCAGCCTATTCCTTGCATGGCATTATCTCTCTGCATTCTGATGTAATTTTGTATATTCAAAGATTACTAATGAAGCATTTAGTGGCATAAACTATACTGAAATACATCATGAGTTTCATTTTGGAGAATTAGCTTCTTTAATGTTTACATGTTATTTCTGATTTACTGATATGCAATAATTAGTTTGTATTACATGTTGATTTTTTTCTCATTCATTTTGAATTTGTTTTATTTTATAAGTGATGAAGATGCAACACCATTAATAGTGAACTTTCTTTATCTTATCTTATAGCTTATTACTTCTACTGAGGAAGGTAAGCACTTCCCTGAAAGTAAAATAATAGAAGTGGGGAGTAATATGGAGCATGAAAATATGGATTTGTACGAGGATCATTCAGATGATAGTATGATGGCCATGCCCACACCAAAGGGTGGAATGAGGAGAAAACATCATCGACCTTGGACTCTCAACGAGGTTATCAAATTAGTTGAAGGTGTATCTAGGTATGGGGTTGGTAGATGGTCCGAGATTAAACGGCTTGCTTTTGCAAATTGTCCCTATCGAACTTCTGTTGACCTTAAGGTAGGCTTAAAAATTGTGTACATCAGACCACTTTGGGCTTTTAGAGATCAGTGGGAAAAAGTGTAGTTGATTGGGCCTTTGCTTTCATTGTCACACTGAAACATGTAATTCCATTGCAGGACAAGTGGAGAAACTTACTGAAAGCTAGCAATGTACAGTTGCCTGCTGAAAAAGGGGTGAGAGCTCACTGATTATGATAATGATAGTCCTTCCGAATTTGTATTACTTGTTTCTGCATTGTGAATTTAATATCGTGGTTTACCTTCTATTTACACCCTGTTTGTGATGGATGATGCAGATACAAAATTCTAGGAAACAAGCAGCAATTCTGATCCCCACCTCAATTCTATTACGAGTGCGAGAGCTTGCAGAAATGCAAGGGCACATTTCGCCAAGTCTCAACCAAAGCAAGTTTGCTGGTCTTGGTTCTGGAGGTAGAAGTGCAGATGAAGGGAGAGTGGGATACTTATAGCTTTGTGAATATTTCGTTGATTTAAACTAGGAATAAGCTTAATAGGCATACAAGCTACTCGAACTATACTCTTGTATATACAAGCTTCTGTTATCATGTTAATTGTAGATTACTTATTCTGGTGATCAATTAGTGGTGAAATTATCCTTTGCTTTTTCAGTCGTTATTACTCCGTATTACGGAGTATTATTATTGGAAAACATAGAGCGTTCACCGGAAAAAAAACCACTAGTTCAGTCAAGTTTTAGAAAGAGTGAGTTACATCAAAATCAGCCCCCCGTTGTTGCAAGTGATGAGTAATGCTTCATTGAAAAAATATTAGTGCCTCATTTGAAATGGTCTTATATACGGAGTAATTAATTAATTTTTTTTAAATGCATAATATTATGTGACTAAATTTGCTATAATATAATACTCCGTAATTTTTAACGACTTGATGAGTAAGAAAAATATAGTTCAATAACAAGTCCACCAATTTGATGGTTGTCTGGATGAGCTTAGCTCAATTGTTCAGTAAGTAGTATTTGAGAGAAGACATTAATGTTCGAACTTTGACAGTGATAATGTGGGGATTATGTTTAAAGTAGGCACTGAGCAGATTGTTTGTGTGTATTGACATTTGACTCTGTCTACTAAGTTATTGAGTTATATATCTTTCTACATACTCTATCGGATTGGAATGTGGGAAGTCTTTAAAATTAGGGATTCAGCATTTTAGGAAAGATGGATTAACACATTATATTATTTTATTTATTTATTTATGTATTTGGGATTAATTTAATAGATTAATCACTCAAACAAATTAATTAGGAAATTTAAAAGTTGAACAAAACAAAATTGCGAATTGTCTGGTTGGTTTCTCCCTCCACCATGAAAGTTTCACTCTGCCCATCCCTTTTTAGTCCAATCGATTTTTGAGTCAGTAGTATTTAAAAAAAAAAAAATTACAATAACGAGAATTTGAAAAGAGAAAAAAATCATTAAACATATAATTGTGGAATTTGTATAATTGTCAAAAGAAGAGGGCAATATGTATAAAATAAATAAATGTTTAGATTCAGGAATTCTTTCTTTCATGCCCTTCCGCAGCCTCTCTAGCACTCTCTTTGTTGTTCCACAATACGACTGTTCTTCTCGAACCTCCGGCACGGCGAACTGACTGACTCTCTCACACTATCCTCTCCTCTCACCATTCTCGGCTTGGAGCAGCATAAGGTTACCGGCGTTCATTGCCTCTTTCTCCCTCGCTGTAAATACCTGTGTGTATATATGTTTCGCCCGTAGATAAAGTTGTCTTTCAATAGCTTTTGCAGCTGATGCTTGTATGCTTCCTAAATTATCCTCGATGTCTCTGGATTCCTAATCTTTATTTTTCTGCCTGCTACCTGAATTTGATTACTTCTTGTTGCTGTCTGCTGCCTAAATTCATCTCTCCCAGCTCGTATTTACTGATTGTCGCGTTAATTACTTCAAACCTGGAACATTGTGCCTTAAATTCCATTCCTATTTATAGAATCGATGAAGATCATCATTTTTCAAAAATAAAATAAAATAGAGTTTAGTGATTCAATATATTAGAGATTTTTCAGAGTTCAATTGATGTGGAATAAGTTATCTTCAATGAGTAGATCTTATTATATGAGACTGTCTCAGTATATTTTTAGCTAAAAATGTACCATACATTTTAGCTAAAAATATTATCTTTCACATGCTAATCGGTCTTACACTAGACTTAAGATCTTAGTTATAGTGCCTAACATTTACTTTACTGATGGCTGTAGGCCTGGCCATGTCATTCTATTTATTTTTTTTTAAATATTCTGTAGTTTACTAATTACTAGTATCAGCATGCTTAGCTTCATCCCTTTAACTGTTTGGATCAAGAATATCGCTTGGTACTTTCTAGTTTCTACTCTTGTTATTCTTTCCATTTTTGCAAGGCTGGAAGTCCCTCATCCTTATGACTTGGAATTTTCGCTCAAATAGTACCCTAATGTTCTAGTAATAACTAATAAGGTGGACAGAAAGTCTTTTGGATTGTGAGTTATGGTCTCTTGGCATTTTCAAATAGAATTTTCTTCTGCCAAACTCACATATTTCGCACAGCGGATTCATTGCTCAGATAGCCTCTGATTATCATAACTGTTGAATTTTATTAGTTACTTACCATTGTTGGTTTCTTTTTATTGCACATAACATGAAAAGTGAGTTGGGGATATCATACTTGTTCACTATGAAGCAGTATTTCATGATCATGAAGTTAGCTTTCTTTTCCTGTGGCAGTTAAACTAAGGAAAAATGGGTATCATAGAAAGGATTAAAGAAATTGAAGCTGAGATGGCTCGCACCCAAAAGAATAAAGCCACAGGTTAGTTATTTAGAGACTAGATTGTCCTGTGCCACTTCAATTTTTGCATTAGGTTAACATTTTGCAAATTATATGTACTTTGAGTGCAGAATATCATCTGGGTCAGCTGAAAGCAAAGATAGCAAAGCTAAGGACACAGTTATTGGAGCCTCCAAAAGTATGTGTTTATCTAAGTAATTTCATAGTTGATCAGAATATGCTTTGATAATATATACTTGGATAATATATACTTGGAATCAGTTTAGTTATATGTTTTTTTTTTTTTTTTTTTTTTTTTTTTTTTTTTTTTTTGTTAGTGTAGTGGTTTTCATACCAGTTACAATCAGTTTTTCATATTTTCTGTATTTTATTTTGCTAATCTCTTCATGTTATCATTGTTCATAATGATGAACAGGGTTCTAGTGGAGCTGGAGAGGGTTTTGAAGTCACAAAATTTGGTCATGGACGTGTTGCATTAATAGGATTTCCCAGGTTTTGTCATTTCATTTGATTTTCTTGTACCCCCTTTTTTTATGCTTTAAGCCAGTATTTGAGGAGAAGTCAATAGGGGAAAAAATGTGATCGGGCGCTCATTCTTGCTTAACTAGATTTAAGAATGATATTCCCTTATAATCTCTCATGTAATATTTGAATGTAATGACTATCCAGCTTTGTTATTGGGTGCTTACTGGTGTCATGCTTGTTCTGAAAAGAATATTTAGTTATCTTGCTGTGGGCACTTCATTCAGCATAATTTTTAAGTATTCACATAGCTGAAGGATATTGATATGAAATTTAACTTTGCCAGCTAGCTCCACATCATTGCCACAGCTCCTGGCCTTTATGTATTCTTTTCTTGGTCTTGTAGTCTACATTTTCCTTAGTTCCAAGTACCAATTTTTAGTAGTTTTTATATTACTAACTTTTTACCTTTGACAGTGTGGGAAAGTCAACACTCCTGACAATGTTGACAGGAACACATTCTGAGGCTGCATCATATGAGTTTACCACACTTACCTGCATCCCAGGTATTATCCACTATAACGATACTAAAATCCAATTGCTTGATCTTCCTGGGATTATCGAAGGTGCGTCAGAAGGAAAGGGGCGTGGTAGACAGGTAAACATTTTTATGTTTCTTTAAGATGGTAAAGGGAACAGATAGAACTTTGCTCAAATTGTTTTGGCTCTATGGTGATGATTGAAATCTGAGTGAATATTGATTTTGGTAATAGGTCATTGCTGTATCAAAATCATCTGACCTAGTGTTGATGGTTCTGGATGCTTCAAAAGTAAGTATTAATCACCATTTTGTTAAATTAATGGCTTTACTGCTATATTTACTATCTTCACTAACCAAGAAAACCTTAGAGTGAAGGGCACCGGCAAATCTTAACAAGGGAGTTGGAAGCTGTGGGTCTTCGTTTAAATAAGAGACCACCTCAGGTAATTTATTTCCACTGTTGTGACACCCTATTTTCTCTAGATTTGTTTGGTATCTCTTATATACCCTATAAATACATAGGCTCTTGTGATTTATCCTTTCTTGTAATATATCTATTTTCATGTCTTATCTTTTCCTTTGTTGTCATACTCTCTTTTGTTCACAAGATAATGCTTCATAGGTCCACCTTATCAGCACTGGACCTTTCACCACATTATTCTTTAACAGTATTTTGCTTTTATATAATTATTATTATTATTATTATATAGAAGGGACCTTACTAGTTACTAAGATTTCTACTTCTGCACTACAGAGTTCAGATATTTTTAGATTTTTTCCCTTTATTTGCGATGGAACTTGCTTACAAGATTTAAAAGTATACTATGGACATCACTGTTTGGGAATTTTGTGAACTTCATAGCTTAAAAAGAAAAAAATCCCTGACAACTTGTTCTCTTATTGTTTAGGAGTTCATTGCATTCCACACAGTAGGAAGTTGTACATTTCTCCCAGCACCATTGGATATTGCATTTGTGTGTGTGTATGCTTTCTCAGGGATAAGTAACAATGGGTCTTATATTAACTTCTGATGGTGACAGATATACTTCAAAAAGAAAAAAACAGGCGGAATTTCGTTCAACAGCACACTACCATTAACTCATGTGGATGAGAAGCTCTGCTATCAAATTCTACATGAATACAAGATTCACAATGCTGAGGTATTTTGACTTAGCAGCCTAGAACTAAATTTGGGGTGTTGTAAACATATGTTATATTGCCCTTTTCCCCTACTTTCGACCTTCTGCTTTGTTGTCTTTCTTAGGTCTTATTTCGTGAAGATGCCACAGTAGATGAGCTTATTGATGTTATTGAGGGAAACCGTAAATACATGAAGTGCGTTTATGTCTACAATAAGATTGATGTTGTTGGTATTGATGATGTGGACAGATTATCCCGCCAACCAAACTCTATTGTAATTAGCTGCAACTTGAAGGTATGCATTGTCAAAATTTTCCATTTAATGTTCACCACTCACCAGTTTAATAGGAACATCATCTACAAGGTTTGAGTTTTCTGACTGCCAAGCTATATGTTAGCTGGAGCATTCAATGTTACGAGCTTTAGTGATGCTAAGGTGAAATGAGTAATTCAAGATACTTCAGGTGACTGTAATATGCACGAACAGTTTGCACTAATCAAAATTCTTTGTGTTGAATTAATGAAATTGCAATTTCACTGTTCTACCCTGTGGTAGTTAAAAATGCATCTTTTGTGGCCAATTGCCCTCTGATGCAAAATTCAATGGTTTTAGGAGCCCGAACCCTCTCACATTGTATTGCTTCAGTTCTGTGAGAGACCAAATTGATTCATTAGCTATTCTGTCAAAATTTTCAAGCCCTTTCTATTACTAATAAATGCCCAAGTGCCCAACCATTGGGTTCAAATTTTATGGTGTGGTCTGGGTTTTTAGTGTCAAACTGCTTGAGTGCCTGCTTCTGAGAAATTAACAGTGTGATTGTTTTATGTTGAACAGCTAAACTTGGACAGACTACTTGCTAGAATGTGGGAAGAAATGGGTCTTGTGAGAGTCTATACAAAACCTCAAGGCCAGCAACCTGATTTCACTGATCCTGTTGTTCTTTCTACTGTATGTTATCAGTCACATCTCTGTTTTTTCTTTCCCCCTTATTTATTGTCTATGGCACGTTTACAAAGCAACTTTATTATTTTCTTTTTATATTATTCATTCATCTCATTGATTGTCTGTGCTCAACACTTTCAGGATAGAGGTGGCTGTACTGTTGAAGATTTTTGTAACCATATCCATCGGAGCCTTGTGAAGGATGTGAAGTATGTGTTGGTATGGGGCACTAGTGCAAGACACTACCCCCAGCATTGTGGCCTCAGTCACATTCTTCAGGATGAGGATGTGGTTCAGATAGTTAAGAAGAAGGTACCCGTACCGTACCCATATTCTCCCTACAACAGCTTTCACTTTCACGTTATCAAGTTCATTTAAATACTGGGGATTTCTGTTTGATTATTATGATAGCTTTGGGTTCCTATAAAAGCAGTCTCTGACAGAAATCATTCACGCATTTTGCAGGAGAAGGAAGAAGGGGGGAGAGGCCGGTTTAAATCTCATTCCAATGCTCCTGCCCGTATTTCTGACAGAGAAAAGAAGGCTCCATTAAAGACATAAGAACCCATACAACATAGTAATGTCTCCTTTACAGCATGTATTTTGTATTCACCAATTACTGCACCATCTTTTTCTGAAATCTGGCCGGCGAAGACTATAGCTTGAAAACGTTTTCACAACATAACATATTGTTCTTTTGCAAAGCCCCTAGAGAACAGAGTGACTGTTTCCACCCTCATCCCTGTGCAATATTCAGTTTGTCTAGCCCCTCTCCCCACAAGGCCCAATACCCATATAACCAGTTCTTTTGAGCTTGGGCTAATGGCCTTATTATTCTCCATATTTCCCTACTCTTCAAGATGGAAGGACAATGATTGATCTTACCTTATTGGAATGTGTTTTTTTTGGGTGACAAGAAAACCCGCAGTCACTACCCAAGTGTGCACAGGTAAATTTTGCATTGTGATTCTAACTGACAAAAAATTATAAGGATGTAAATCAGCCTAGATTATTCATAGTTGATCAACTCAAATTAAGAAGGCTAATACATCGTTCTTACTAGAAATTAAATTTAGATCTTTATGGTTACTATCTATGCTAAACTAATAGTATGCCCAACTTGGTTGGGTTGTTCGAATATGTTATTTTTTCAACTACTGAAATTAATGAAGGGTGATGATTGTAGAATTGCCTAACAAATAATGAGTAGGAGAAAATAAAAGTCGCCCAAGATCTTCACTATAATCACATTGCCTAGAATTCAGTGATTGTATTGTGAGGGCAGTGGGCATGGCCTAACTTTTATTCAACACACATAATTTCTAGTCTCAATAATTTCCTTAGCTTACTCCTAGCCTTATTAGCGCGTAAGTGCTGTGTCTAATCAATCCCGTCAAGTCCAAATCATATCATTTACAATCTTACATTACGGCTAAGATGACGACAAAACAAAACATTAGTTTTACAGACTAATAAAATTTTCTCAATGGAGCAGTTGCATTGGACCATAAGATTCCACCTAATATTTCCTTTTAATAATGAATCCATTGATGGGGCTCAGATGGTGTAACGTAACTCTCTGCAACTACTGCTGTTAAAGTTAGATCTTCCTCAACAATGATTTTTTTGATGGTTTTTGTCATATAATAAACTTAAAAAGATAGTTTTTTGTTGATGTGGGCAATGGCTTTTGAGGTGGTTTTTTGTGCTGAAATAACTAGTTTTTCGTGGGTCCCAAATGAGAGAAAGATGGCAGAAGGCTATTGCCCTTGTGCACGTTGGGTGCACATTCAGCACCCAGCCGGGCGCGTCGTCTGCTTTTTTTTTTCTCCCCTCCTCTTTCTCTCCCCTAATTGATATCTCAAAAACCACCAAAAAAAAAAAAAATCAATACTATTGGAGATGCTCTTACACTCAATCCATCCCTGTTGTTATCACTTTCGCAGCCCACACGGACAACTCAGTTGATTCCAGTCTTGATAGTCGTGCAATGTGAGAGTTACACCTAATATGATGGGCTCCTTGCAGACACCAAGCAAGTAGGCACGAGTCATTCCACCTAATGAGCGTTGAGTAGTCAGCGTGATTTAATTTACCCATCCACTATCTTGTTGGGTCGAGAGAATTATGTCTCTTGTAAGCTATCATTTTCGTGGTGGAATGATTGGAGTTAGAGACAGTAGATTAATTATTAGGTAAATAATAATGATAACAGTTTCATGTTTTAATTTACACAATGAATAGATGGCTCATTATATTTTTTCCTTCATGGAAGGGGAAAAGTACTAAAGTGGGACAGCATGCATATATATATATATATATGTAAGTAGCAAAGTGTTGCTGTCAAATGTGAGTTGAATGACACTGCGTTCTCAGCAGCCCAGCTAGGTAAATGTTGGTGAGTGAAGTAAAAGGGGTTAGTAGATAGTTACCCACTGCACCCATCAAAAGATTCGGTCCTTTCACCAAGACAACAAATAATGCATCTCTACTGTTGTGAATGTTAACCTACAATGCTACAAGATTTCCTCGGGATTTGGTACTCAAATGATTTACGAGAAATTCCACAATCGTTATGTAAAATTCAGTCTTCTGATATGATCTTAACCGATAAATGATCACCAAGAAGTAAATCAGATATACATAGAGTCGATCAAACTTGATTTCTTAAAACTTATGATCGAAACCATATTAATGTTCAGCTCAAAGTTGGGTAGCAAATTGACGTGATGATTTAATATTAACAGGAAATTTTAGGCAAAGAGTCTTGTCATATAGATAATTTCAACTCTTTTTGAGAAAAACTACAAAAAGACAGGACTTGTATTGGTAGTTGTTCGATCCGAGGAATTTCAATGATGCTGTAGTAGTGACTACATAATTACAATGGTCTCATCAATTGAATTGAATGGCATGTAGTGTTACAGTTCATAATGTGGCATTTTCGTGATTTGATATGGATGTGACTCCAGTCTCTTGCTTAATGTTTTGGATTGTATTTAGTTGTAGAGTGAAATCAGTCCAATTTAGCTGCCAACATCTATCAATTGGGCAAAGATTGATGGTGCCTGAATTGATTGAATTCGAGTCGAGCTTCTATCTTCAATCTTGAGTTGGCAACATTTAGACTTGCATCGTTTTTTACTATACTCCTAGTTATGATTTGATCGGGTTAGGATCGGATCGGAGTTAAATCAATGTCCTATGTATATCTCAAAATTAGAATGTTTGTATCCATTTGGATTTTGATCAAATCAGATCACCATTTTAACTTCCAATATCTCCACCACTAACATGCGGCCTCGATCATGCTTACAAACTTTGATTCTTATTCAAATATAAATGCCAAACTCAAAACTCTTTAATAAGGCTTGTCCATCTAACCTAACTATAAGACTAATCCATGCCACCTTGAGAGATGGCGAAACCCATAACTCTTTAACATGACATGGGGCCGTATCCAAAGCTTTTTATCATGATGTGAGGTTGGACCTAAGCTAACTATAAGACTAATTTACTTCGGGTAAGGCTTGATTGAAAACTATTTAAAATGATGCAAAATATATATATAAGGGAAGATACAGAAATATTATATCACACTAGAAATTAAAGACCCAAGGTAGCATGAAAGGTCAAACTTGTGACACTCTAAAACGAAAATCATATTACACTCACTCAGCCACATTTTTGGGGCCTAACCCTCTTGTTTTCCTCCTCATATATGATACTTGTTGTTTTGGATCACATTATACACATCAAGATTTAATTTGCACCAAAAGAAAAATATTATTGTAGTGGTTGTTAGAAAGTGGGGATTGAAGGCATGCAAGGCAAGCGTGTGAATTGTGATGGAGATAAAGTATGGTTAAGTGGGAGCAGTAACCAGAAGATCAGAAGACCAAAAAAGAAGAAAGATGGTGACCTAAGATAGTAGCAGTGGTAGACAACCAGACCAATACTCACCCACTATAATCAACCACACCATGCAACGTTACATCCTACCATTAGCAACCACACCTAAACATATACATACATACATAGCTTCATCATTCATTCATCTCTCTCTTTCATTGCTGCAATTGTACATTAATCGATAGACGGTCCGCACGAACAGCTCAGTTAGTATTCAGGTGATAAATTGTTAAAATCAAATGCTTAATTACCACTATGTCAGGCCAAAAGCTATAGCTAGTAGGCTGCAATTAATAGATCAGGCCGCCATGAATTGAGATTATTGTGTTTATCTTTCGAAAATTATGTCTGATTAGAGTGTGGAGGTCTGGGGTAAGGGACTTCGCCTCGAGGGTGACAATATATGGTAGACTTTTCTGAAACCTATGCCCATTAACAAAGCATAACTTTCACTGTTCATTATCATCTACAAACCCTATTATTGCCTTCTTTTACTGTAGCATGGTACTGTATGTGCAGTATACAGACATGGCATGGAATTTGCAGATGAAATGGGTGAAGGAATCAGAAATGAAATGAGAACACACACAACCTAAGATTAGTCTTTTCCGAGGGAGGGAACAAAAGCTGGTTTTCAAAAACCAAAAAAACATAATATAATGTATATATGATATATGTGTGCATTGGGATCGCCAAAAAGGAAAGAAATTCTCATCTGTTCTTTGTTCTTTCTTTCTCTTTATTCCCTCTTACCCCTTTCTTCCCACACACACTCTTTTCTCTTTGCACTTTAATTACGTAGCACTCACACTCACTGTGTTGCCTTGTCTCCTCTTCGTTCCTTTCTTCTTTCTTCGCCTCGTTTTTGTTTCTGACCTGGCCTGTATTTGTAAATATTTTTCTATAAGGATTAATAATTTTTGGTAGATTTATAATTAGTAGTGATGAAGAAGATTCCTACAAATTCGTAAGACATGGGGTCGGATCGTAGGAGGATCATGTCCTACTCTGTTTATTGGTTTAAGTTTTTAAGTTCAATTATGTGACTGTGGGTCAAAAGTTTCTGAGATAAAAATCAAAATGTAAAAAGTGTAATAAAATAGTTAGTTTATAGATTAATTTTGACTTATTTGATGACCATTATTTGTTGTTTGACATGATTTAAAAATCAATATAAGTGTTTAGTTAATTAGCTTTTTGTATTTTAAAATGTTAAAACTCAAAAAGCCACTCAAAGTAACTTTTTTAATTAGCTTTTTAACAAAAGAAATTATACCAAACAACTCTAACAGTTAATTTACCAAACACATTTCTACAATCAACTAATGTTATCAACTAGTTATATCTTCTAATTAATCCAAGCAGCTAACAGCTAACCGCCCTTTATCAAACAGAGGTACACATTTTTTAAATTTAATGTTAAACTTATTATAATAAAATCATGAAATAAATATAGATTTTTTAGTGCTTGAGGAGTAATGTTTGAAACACGGGGATGTGGGGCCGAGGAACGCACGTGTGCATGCGCGACAGGGCCGGGACATGCAGCCCAGCCCATCACGTGCCCTCCGATACTGTTTCAATTGAGGATGCCAGATCATTGTGGGCCCCTTCTTTAGTTCTTACTCCCATATTTTGTTTTTCGTTTTTACTCCATTTTTTCTCAATTATTACTCCAAGTCAAAAACGCAATTTTAATTTTTCATTTTCTCCCTCCGTCTCATTTTATGTGTCAGGTTCGATTGATTGAAGTTATTTTTAATTTAAATTTTTATAATAATAAATTTAGTATTAATATATAAAAATTATATATATAGAAACTAAACTAAATGTCCTATATATTAACACAAAAAAAAAAAAACAAACTTAAAAATAAATAAAAAAACACTAAAGAAAATAAAAAAGAAGAAAAAAATTATTTTGACCAATGAATAATAAATATATATGATAGATAAAATGGGATAGAATGAGTAATAT